TTGGTTTTTCTCCGGTACCGGGAACCGAACTCACGACCTTGCGCTTGCCAGGCAGGCGCTTTTGCCGCTGAGCTAAATCCCCAGCCCCGGCATTGTATCTTGTCTATACAATACTAGCACAAAACTTTCTTTTTAATGAACTAAGAGAAACTAGCTGTATAAAAATCTTAAAGGTTTTTCTTTTTCTGATGTATACTTTTTTGGTGGACTTTGTAGAAGGTAAAATAAGTGGTATATTTATACTAAGGAGACTTAACTTTATTTTGACATTTTATTTCTCAGTAAAATGGTAAGAATCACATTACTTCAAGAAACATCACAGGAGTGTGTTTTTTCATAAAATAAATGAATCAAAGAGCTGGTTCTTTGAAAGGATAAATAAAATTGATAAGCCCCTAGCCAACCTTATTAAGAAAAGGAAGGAAAGAACTCAGATTCATGCAATAAGGAATGAAAGGGATATTACTACAGAGTCCACAGAAATTCAGAAGATCATTAATACCTACTTTGAAAATCTTGACTCCTATAGAATAGAAAACTCAGAAGAAATGAACAGATTGCTAGATATGTACTCATTAACAAGGTTCAGTCAAGAATATATCAAATTCCTGAACAACCCAATATCAATTAATGAGATTGAAAGCGTGATTAAAAACCTACCGACAAAGAAAAGCCCAGGCTCTGATTCACAGCAGAATTTTACAAGAAATTCAGAGAAGATTTGCAACCCTCCTCAAACTCTTCAATTAAATCAAAAAGGAAGCAATTGTCCCTAACTTATTTTGGAGGCAAGCATCATTCTGATACCCAAACCAGAGAAAGACCCAACCAAGAAAGAGAACTACAGACCAATCTCCCTCATGAATATAGATGCAAACATACTCAATAAGATACTGGCAAATACAATGCAGCAAATGATCAAGAAAATCATACATCACGACCAAGTCGGATTCATTCCAGGAATGCAGGGTTGGTTCAATATTTGCAAATCTATAAATGTTATATGCCATATCAATGGAGCCAAAGACAAAAACCACATGATCATCTCAATAGATACAGAAAAAGCTTTTGACAAGGTCCAACATGCATTTATGATAAAAACTCTACAGAAAATAGGAATAGATGGTCTTTACCTTAACCTGATCAAAGCCATCTATGACAAGCCAACAGCCAACATCATTCTCAATGAACAAAAACTGAAAGGTTTTACTTTAAAATCGGGAACAAGACAAGGATGTCCGCTGTCACCACTCCTGTTCAATATAGTTCTGGAACCACTAGCCAAGACAATTAGACAGGAGAGAGAAATAAAAGGAATAAGGATAGGAGAGGAAGAAGTAAAACCATCACTATTTGCAGATGACATGATACTTTACATGGGAGGCCCCGAAAACTCCAGAAGTAGAATTAATCAATGAATTCAGCAGTGTATCTGGATACAAAGTCAACATCCAAAAATCGATAGCATTCCTATACACAAACAACAA